AACAGAAGTTCAACATGCTGTACATGCATACGTGGCACAACGCCGCATTGGGATCAAGCGTGAAAAATGGCAAATGTGTGCGTCCTGTAATCATGACCTGGTGGTTTGAACTGCCAGAACTTCAGCACATGCGGATCACTACCAGAGAAGTGGGCTTTTTTGTTCTACCAAATGAGATAAGGGGCGCTGCGGTGGCGAGATGTTAACTACCTCGCCTGGTGCACAGGAGGTCGTGGGTTCGATCCCGACCCTGACGCCTGCTGTATATTTGGAGTTTGCGTGTCTCTCTTTCCCCGTGGTCACGTATATTTTTTCCGGGTCCTCCAGTCTTTCCCTCCACATTTAGAAACATGCGTTTAGAGTATTTGGCTGCTGTATATTTCCACATGACAAGCCACATCATTGAGCTATGATTTGTGTTTAAGTCGCTTCTGAAAAAGACCTACATAGCTCAGTGGGCCTTACCCAGTAAAATAAAAACATTGTTTAGTTTCTAGTTTAAGTTGGTCCCGTTGTCTCAATGAGTACAGCCCGAGACAACGTTACTCTTCTGCATGCTCTTCAAACCACCACGTCTCAACAGCGCTGCACATCTGGAAACGCACATCTAGACCAGAGTTACGAGCATGTGTTTGCAATAAAAAAAAATCTAAATTGTACGTTTGCTTTGACAAAAGTGGCTTACAGGATGACACGTGAAACACACAGAGGCACACGCACGCACACACACACACCAAGAAACTCCACCGCACCAACACCGGCGGCTTCGCCCAACCGCACTTGACGTTCGCATGACAAGCCGCGAATGGTCGCCAGGGAACAGGGCTGGGAACATGCGATGGTCGTACACGGGCGGCGCATGCCAGAAAGCGTGCCGTCACGCAGGTGTGAAATGACGCGCATGCACACACACGCATGCACTTTTAAATAATCTAGATTGAAAACTCATTTTATTTTGAGCTGCTTTTTGTGCTTCATTTGTTGTTCTTCCCCCGCACGTCCAATGAGCACGGTTGGCTATGTACGGCGCGAAAGAAGTTCAGCGTACGTACATGCGTGCACGGCGCGTAGTGGAGAGCTGCGACACGTTTGGGAAGGCGGTTTTAACTATTAACTAGTTTAACTATTTTTTATTTTATCAGGTAAAGCCCACAGCTCTTTTTCATAGGTGACCTCGCCACAAATGACAGCTCAACAAAGTGACTTATCACGTGGAAATTTATAGCAGCCAAATACGCTAAACGCATCTTGATTCGAAATGTAAAGGGAACACCTGGAGGACCCGGAGAAAAAATCTACGTGACTACGGGGAAAGAGATACACGCAAACTCCAAATATACAGCAGGCGTCAAGGTCAGGATCGAACCCACGACCTCCTGTGTACCAGGTGAGGTAGTCAACATCTCGCCAACGCGGTTAACATGTAAGGAGCACCCGCGTCGGCTGGAGGTGAAACGGGCACCACATTGCGGACAGGGCAAGTGGGCAACACCGGAGGCACAGCGGCGATCGGAATCCACGGAGGAGGAGGAGGCACGCGAGAGAACAAGCCCGCGCATGGGGTGGGGTTTTGACAAATGATATTCGAGTGGGGCAGTCAAAATCAGATGACGATTTCAACTTACGGCCTAGTGGGAATATAACCATCGGGGAAGGTCACATCCATCACAAATGGAGATTTGTTTTTAAAGGATTTCTGACCAGACTTTAAATATGTTGAAAGCAGAAAGAGTTAAGTTTCAATCTGATCCAAAAAAAAAAGCAATCATATCAGCTTTTTCGAATTGACAAAAAAGAGACAGTGACTGGTTTGAATCAGAAAGGGAACGGTTTAAGAGGAGTTCACATTCAGTTTGTAGCGCCACATGCAAAGGTTCACTGCTTGCGTGACATCTGTCTGTCAAAATCTGATTCCCCGGGTTCTATTGCCGGGATGATGAGATTTTGCTTTGTAGGAATCCGTGAATGCAACGTGCAGAATCTGAAATGCAGACGACATATTTCATAATCAACGTTTTTGGGTTTAGATCGCGTTATTTATAAATGTGTCGTAACCCTCCACCACCCGACACGGCCAATCAGTAAAAAATGTGTCACGTTGACAAAGACAAATAGTTCACTGCTTTAGCCCACCGGTGTGTTGAAGCCACAACATTTACAATTTGAGTACGACGTTTCGCTGGTAATTGCATCCAGCATCATCGGGCAATTCGCCAGAATGGTGAGGCTCTGCTCTGGCTCCCGCTCTTATATAGAGCAGCAGCAGAGTGACGTCATCATTAACTCATTAACTCATCAGGTGCAAAGATTCAAGGGGGTAGTGATTGTAATTATATACTAGATTAGTAATCAGGCTATTGTTACGATATGAGATTAGTCGATTAGTAATCATGTGGAATGTGTTTTATTGTGGTTATGCTACATTAGTAATCAGTTAGTGGTTGTTTCCCTTATAAGGAATTGTAATGTATCGTATTTAATAATACGTTTCCAGGCCGCACTAAGCCTGTAGCTGTCTGAGCGATTAAAGTTATTTCTGTTTCTCTCAATTTCAATCGATTCTCTAATTAGTCTTTGCCAGTAGTAACTAGTTTTACACAACACTTCCACGTTGTCAAAATCAATTGAGTGTCCCTGTTGGCATGCATGTTCTGCTACTGCCGATAGTTGTGTTTGTGATAGTTTAATATTTCTCTGGTGTTCTTTTAGTCTTACACTAACGTTACGCCCTGTCTGTCCAATATAGCATTTGCCACATACACAATTAATCCGATATACACCTTCTGTTGATAATTTAGGTAATTCGTCTTTAGTGCACGTTACTAGTTGTTGAATTTTGTGTACTGTACCAAATCTTACTGTAATGTTTTGCTTTTGCAAAACACGGGCTAATTTATCAGTTACTCCTGAGATAACGATTTTCTAAATCATCTCAATGCACAAAACCCGGCCATTCAGTTCACCATGGAAATGGAGGTGAATAACACACTCCCGTTCCTGGATATTTTACTTGGGCATGGCCTAAATGGTAAAATAACACACAGCGTTTACAGAAAGCAAACGCACACTGATGCCTATCTGAATGCAGATTCGCATCATCACCCAGCTCAGAAATCCTCTCTTATCAAGACGCTCATACATCGGGCTAAAACAGTGTCAGATGGTGAAAGTCTAGTGAGAGAGATTAAACATGTTAAAGAAGCACTAAGACAGAATGGCTACAATAATGCTCAAATTAACAGAGCACTAAAAGCCAAATCACGATCGCAAAGCAACACTGCTGAAAGCGATCAGATTATTAAAACAATAAAAATACCATTTATCTCAGGAGTAACTGATAAATTAGCCCGTGTTTTGCAAAAGCAAAACATTACAGTAAGATTTGGTACAGTACACAAAATTCAACAACTAGTAACGTGCACTAAAGACGAATTACCTAAATTATCAACAGAAGGTGTATATCGGATTAATTGTGTATGTGGCAAATGCTATATTGGACAGACAGGGCGTAACGTTAGTGTAAGACTAAAAGAACACCAGAGAAATATTAAACTATCACAAACACAACTATCGGCAGTAGCAGAACATGCATGCCAACAGGGACACTCAATTGATTTTGACAACGTGGAAGTGTTGTGTAAAACTAGTTACTACTGGCAAAGACTAATTAGAGAATCGATTGAAATTGAGAGAAACAGAAATAACTTTAATCGCTCAGACAGCTACAGGCTTAGTGCGGCCTGGAAACGTATTATTAAATAAGATACATTACAATTCCTTATAAGGGAAACAACCACTAACTGATTACTAATGTAGCATAACCACAATAAAACACATTCCACATGATTACTAATCGACTAATCTCATATCGTAACAATAGCCTGATTACTAATCTAGTATATAATTACAATCACTACCCCCTTGAATCTTTGCACCTGATGAGTTAATGATGACGTCACTCTGCTGCTGCTCTATATAAGAGCGGGAGCCAGAGCAGAGCCTCACCATTCTGGCGAATTGCCCGATGATGCTGGTTGCAATTACCAGCGAAACGTCGTACTCAAATTGTAAATGTTGTGGCTTCAACACACCGGTGGGCTAAAGCAGTGAACTATTTGTCTTTGTCAACGTGACACATTTTTTACTGATTGGCCGTGTCGGGTGGTGGAGGGTTACGACACATTTATAAATAACGCAATCTAAACCCAAAAACGTTGATTATGAATAACATTGGTCGCGAAAGCCTACGTGTTAAACAGACGACATATTGTTCGTTCCCAAATGCCTGGGGCTTGAAAGGTCCTCACAGCTGTTGCGCGCGGGCGCACTGGAAAACGGTGCCGAGTCGAAGTGATGCCCTCCTCAAACGAGCACCGGTGAGACGTGAACTCCCTCGCCTGGTATACAGGAGGTCGCGGGTTCGATTCTGACCCTGACGGCTGCTGCTGTATATTTGGAGTTTGCATGACTCTCTCCCCGTGGTCACGTGGATTTTTCTCCGGGTTCTCCGCTTATTCCCTCCACATTTATAATCAACATCACGCATTTATTAGAGTATGCAGCTGCTGTCAGTTTCCACGTGATGATAAGCCACTTATTTGCGCTTTCATTTGTGATGGCCAGGTCGCTTCTGAAAGAGGGATACACAGCTCAGTGGGCCTTAGTTTAGTTTTATCGCCTGGTGCCGGGCCGTGGGAAGTTTCCGTGTTTTTTTTCCTTCTTCATCGTTGTCGTTTTTTAGTTTTTTCGTTTCCGTGGATTTCCACTGCCACCGGGCCACGGCGCATGCGGAAGCGCGACCTTGAATTGCCGGCGCAGCAGCAGCAGCAAGCACACGGGGCAGGCGGCCTCCAGGGCTCGCGAGGCGCATGCAGGCAAACAGGCTCACGCGGTGAGATGGCTGAGAAGGAGTCGGGTTGACGGTCAAAGGTTAGCGATGGGTGAGGTTATATGGGAGGACGCGCGCTGGATGGAGGGGGATGGATGGGGGGGCCACTCACCTGATTGCAGGCGGTGGCACTTAAGATGGCTTTGTCCAGCTCTTGAGGCGGCAACTTTGTCAGAGAGCGCTGCGGACAGCGGAGGGCACGCCGACGTTACGACCGCCGATGGCTTTTGCCTCCGGCCCACCACCTTTTTAGAACTGCCTCTTTAGAACTGGCTTTTGTTTCTTGTTTAGTTCGTTCTTGTCCTCTTTCTCCCTCCCCCGCACCTCCCGATTTAGTCATGGTTGGCTACGTAACGGCGGTGCGAGTGAAGTTCAACATTCGTGCGTATTTTGTATTAAAGCTCTCAAGTCACCGTAAACGCGAACGCCTACCCACCTCAATGTATGCCATTTGAGTACATGTGCCACTTTCTTTAGCACAAATATTCCACCGTGGTTTAAAGTAGCAGGTGAATAACGGAACCCCCATCGCACGTCACTCATCGATCACCCGGGGAAACCCACTTTGGTGTCTCCGTGCTGCGATTCTCGGCGAGAGAATCGCAGCGAAGCTCAAAGGGACCGTCAGCATTCAAGTGAAATCTGCATCTCCAAGAAACTAGAACGGTTCCACAAACAGGAAATGAACGACACCGAAAACAATTTGCAACGAAGCTAAAACACCGGGGGGACCTCTCATTTAAACCGAAGCAGCCTCTGAGCCGCTGACCCTTATTCGTGAAAAAAACGTGACGTTAAAAACACTCTTCTTTCACTTTTCTGTATTCTCGATCATTACATCAACTGCAACACTTGTGCAAATACCATCAGATAAACACTGGAGCTGGGTAACTGAGGCATTCTGTACAAAAAAGCCCAGCACCTAATCGCAGATGAGGATCAGATACGTTGCACACGTGCTAACCACTACACTACCGCTGTTCTGGTAGCCTCACCCGCATTTCGTGCCCTCAGCTGAAGCCTCCACCGGCCGCCATCCCCCTTGAGTGGGGGCGGTGGGGGTCGGAGGGTTCGGAAGGCTGGTTGCTTTTGTTTTGAAGTTCAACAATTCCCAAAACTGAACTATAAAAACTTTTATTTTTACAGGTAAGGCCCACTGCCCATGTCGCTTCTTTTTCAGAAGGAGCCTGGCCACAAATGACAACCCAAAGAAGTGGCTTATCATGTGGAACTTTATAGCAGCCCAACACTCTAAACGCACGCTGATTGTTAATGTGGAGAGAAAAACCAGAGGAGCCGGAGAAAAACCCATGCGACCACGGTGAGAGAGAACACGCAAACTCCAAAGATACGGCAGGCGTCAGGGTCGGCATCGAACCCACGACCTCCTGCATACCAGGCGAGGGAGCTAACATCTCGCCACTGTGGCGCCCGATTCCTCTCGTCGCCCGGGACATGAAATGCGCCACCAGCACCTCAGTTGGAGGGGGGGGCGGGGGTCGGGGCAAGAGCGATAAGCAGAGATCCAGAACTTATTCAGGATTCACCCTTTTTTGTTGCCGTCAGATGAGTCAGGGGGTGGGAGAAAAAATCAACTCTTCAGGAGATTTCAAGAGATTCAAAGAGAAAACAATCTGCGTGCTTAAAACTGAAACTGCCGTTGAGGAAGAAGACGCAAAAAGGACGTCCGTGCAAAAAAGCGTTACAGCTCATCAGATACCTCCACTATGAATGCATATTTCATTCTGAAAAGATTTTAAAGGTCTAAGATAAACAGGAATGACATTTTGGTATTTTCCTCTGCCCACAAAGCTCCCCAACACCTCCCCTCAGCATCCCTCTTCCAGCGACAACGAAGTCATTACACAACCATCATCTACAACGTCAACAATATCTTCCCCCATCCATCGTTCTGGAGTCAATTGCAGGAAGGGTTGAGGCCGTAAAAAAATCAACCATTCAACGTGACTTGCGCTAAGGGCCAATGAAGCAGAGTTAATTAATTCCAGGAGTTTCTGCGCTTGAGGCTGCAAATCAATCACCACGGGTGGTGGCAAGGAGCCATCCCCTATCGAACCACAGATTTAACTAATTGCTCACTCCGAGAGACTGGCAATAACATGATTATGTCTGCATGTAAGTTTAACTTTTTTCACACCGTACGTAGCCAAGCATGCGCATCAGAAGTGCTGGGAAGGACAACAAACTAAACGGAAAACGCAGTTCTAAAGAAATTAGCTTTCAATCTACTACACAATCACTACACACTACTACACACTCGCTTATGTATGTATGTATGTTGAAATTCTTTTGCACCAGACGCAGCCAACCGTGCTAATCGGAGGTGCGGGTTGAAGGCCAACAAACTTAAAACAACAAGCTGTTCTAAAGAATTGAGTTCTCAATCTAAATTTAAAAGTGCATAACTCCCAGTGGCTTAACATCCACGCGATGATAAGCCACTTCGTTAGACCATCATTTGTGGCCAGAGCTGGAAAGCTCAGTGGGCCTTACCTGGTAAAATAACAACAATTTAGTTTAAATTCCAAGACAAACTCTGGATAAAGGTCGATAGAGTTCCTGCCCCCCAAGATAAAATAAGCATTGGTTGCCTATCTTCATTGATGGCCCCTAAGCCAGCAGTGGAAACTCCACATTCCCTGTGGCTGAGGCCCAGTCTCAATCGAACAACCACTCAATCTCTCACGAAAGCAAAAACCATGTTATATACTGCTGAGAGATTTGCCAAGTCCACATCCTCCCAGAATATGAAGCTCGCAACGTTCTAATTGTGGGCCAAGGGGGTAGAGCTACCAAGATCTCATTCTCAAAATAGGCATTAGTTCACAATTGAGTAACTAACTCCAATGATTGGTCGTTAATGTGTGCATTACATGAGGCCATCCACGGATAGCGGGCTCTTTACACGTCACCACCTTGGCCTGCAAGGTGGCATTTATTGAGTTGCCCTGCCAATGGCCGATGCTTACAGGAGACTGGGGTGAAGGAGTGATGGCAATGTTCAATACAGGAACTGCTCCCCTTCTTGAATGACGTGATGAGACCCACGCATGGGAGCAGTGGTCACAGGCCAGCCTGGGCTGGCATGCCCCAGCGCCAGTGCTCGGACGCAGCAGAGGGCTCACTGGAGCCTGGGCAGGTGAGCTGCCTTAACATGTGTACGTTGAACTTCTGTCGGACCGTACGTAGCCAACCGTGCTAATCGGAGGTGCGGTATTCTGAGATCAGGGCACTGCCTCCAATATTAATTCACGAGTTACGATTATTTCAGACTCGTGGGGCTATTATTATAAAGCACCACAGACCGTGGTGACACATAGCGCAATCGCACTGATCGTAAAAGTTTTGCATTTTTATTATCATTTTTGCGCACTCCCTTGACAGAACAACAGAAATATCATAAAAAGCACACACGTGGCCCAATGTGATAACAGGCTCAAAATCACGTGTTCCTAAACACACACGTTTGTTTGCACTTTATTGCAAAACATTTAATGTCGAGTATGTAAATGTGTCTCACTTAACCTACGCGTTCCAGGCACTGGATTAAATCAACTTTACGTAGCGCTCAAATATATAACGGCAGGTGTCGTCGTGGGTCCAGCGCCTGATCGAGTTACCACATGAATTAGATTTTCGTACTTACGTAAAATCTGGGTTTTTTACACACTTTTATTGAACTCACTCTGTCTGTTATTGTTGTTGTCATATCCTCAAATATTTTAACTCAATTTTAACCCACTTCCCAATGTGGTATCGACTGCAAACTCGGTATACTTATGTCTTACTGATGACAATACTATATTCTATCATTAAAAACAAAAAACATATTTTTAAACCATCTTTTTTACATGATATGTTTCGCCTTTGGTCTAATTGTCCACGCTCAACTCACGGTGGCTGTAAATCACCACGGTCCCTGACGTTGTGGCAAGCCTCGGGGCCACTTCCTGGAGTCGTGGAGTTCTGCCATTACTCGTACGGTACATTTCATTAAAGCGTGTTTTTTTTTAAGTATTAAAAAAAATTACTTATTTCGATAGAAGGTGGTCACCAACACGCTCCGGCTCACGTAAATCAAACTCCTTCTCTATACCGGCGGTGGCGGACAGAGACAGAGTTCGACTCTGTCCGAGCTGCAGCGTGTGGGCGACCACCAAGTCAATTAAAAAGCAGATCGATCGACATGAGGGCAGTTACTTGGCAGAGTGGGTAGAGCGTGATGCCGCCCATCGCAAAAGATTCACGGCTCAAGACCACCGCTGCCCGCCCTGGTTAACGCCGCGGTGCGCGCGATCCATAAACGCCACGCGCCGTGTGCGTCGCAGCGGATGATTAATTGCGAACACGTAACCATCGAACAAAGACGGTTTACCGCACTGCACGGGCTCTCAGATACGCCTCTGCGGCCGTCTGGAATGCTCTTCCTTCCGATATTAGGAAGTCACTGGGAGCTATGCACTTTTAAATCATCTAGATTGACAAGCTCGTTTCTGTGGAACACATTTTTGTGTTTAGTTTGTTGTCCTTCCCCCACACCTCCCAATGAACACGTAGGCTACGTACGGTGCGAAAGTGGTTCAACATTTTTACGTACACAGCACGGGGATTGTAATCCCTAGATCCTGCAGATGCGCGTCGACGTACGTTAGACTCAAGTGCCCGTGGGCCATTTTCTGCCAACTAAAGCATTACCGAAATTGTATTACCCGTTTAAGTTTCAAAATTACACATCTCAACCGTGTTATCAATGGATAATTGCTCGGTCGCAACAATGACATATAGATTTCAGCGGTATTCGATGTATTTTGAAGGTATAATCATTCCATTTATGTAGCACTGTTCATCAAGGATCTCAAAGCGCTGTACAAGAGACAGCAGCAGTAGACACTCAGCATAGAAATAATATATTAGAAATATTATTTAAGAATCCATCTACTAAATAAACTAAAATATAAATAAGCGGAAGCGTATAAATAAGTTTTAAGACGCATTTGAAAAAATGTCCACAGACTCAGAGAGTGTCCCTGATACCTCGTGGACGAGCGTTCCATAGCCTGGGGGCGACACGGGGACAAAACCTCGCTCACCCGTAGACCCAAGCCTCGACCATCTTAGAGGCCTTGAGGGGGAACATATGGGTGCAGCATGTCAATGTCG